TTTGTACCCATGAAATTAAACTATCAAATATATATCAAAGAAATCAAAAAAAATAATAATAATTGAAGCGAAATTTCAATGTTTCGAGATGATTTAGAATATTTCTAGGTGTTTTGAGATATTTTGACATTTTTTTACAATGTTTTCGAAAAATTTTGAGATGTTTTAAGATATTTTAGTATATTTTAACTAATATTTTAAAAATAAATTTAAATTTTTTTATTTATTTTTATTCTGATTCTCAAATATATTCATATTGAAATAATATATCGAAATAATATTTTGATTATTGCTTATATAATAAAATAAAATAAAATAAAATAAATTTAGTTTTTAATTAGTGAATATAGACAAGGTGAATTTAGTAACCGATGGAGTGAATAAATATAGAGTGAATTTAGTAATTTAAAATAAGAGGATTAAATGAAGTGAGAGAAAAAATTTAAAGGGTGAGAATAGTCCAATTCATTAATTTAATGTATAAATTAGGTGCACAAAGTTTTACTTTATTCAAATGTAATAAGAAAAAGGAATGGAAGATCCATGATTTGATTTACCGCCACAATAGCAAACCCAACCATAGAATGCAATTGAACGACCTCGTTCAATGCACAAGACAAACCATTATTATCTCGTCCAAACAACGCCGGCTTCAATCCGTAGTTTTCCCTGAAGCAAAATTGACCTTCGGACACGGGTATTTCGCTGGTTTTCGTCCCGCAGAAATTCTTCAAAAAGATTACGAGAAAGAGAACTTCGAGAGATGGCATCACCAGTAATTTCGATCAAATTATGGTATTGTTTTAAAATCCTCTTCTCCTATAAATATAAAAACCTCATGAAATTAAATTTGTTCCTCCTTTCTTGCGCTCTCATTCTTACTGAGTTCTCATTCTCTTTTGCGCTCTCATTCTCTAGTCGCATCTCGCTTCTATCCATCGTTCTTTTTATTTCTGCCGAAGAATTTTTTATGTTCTTCATAATATCTCGATTCTAAATCTCCCTACTTTGAGGAATTTCCCTTTTGGAATCGTTCTACATTGATCATACACTCGTATATTGTGTACTTATTTTGTTAGTATTCAAAACCCTAACCCTGGTTTTCATTCTTCGAAGAGCTCTTTGAATTGGCAGAATCTGATTTCTTACTATAGTTGGCTTCTCGACTTAGCTTTCTCGATCCTATGAACAATCACCTACTCAAGACATGTAAGTTTGTCACCCCCTTCTTTTTTTTTCTCTTTGATTTATTTCCATTGATTTGTGATGGTGTTTACTATGCCAATTGAGCAGAATGAATGAATCATGGAAATTGATCAGAATCAAGGTGTTCAAGGGTCAGGGGATTGGGATGAGTTGCACAATGAAAATATAGTGGTTCACCAAGCCTGAGAGCTCGGCTAGTCTACTCTCGAATGGAGTTTCTTGCTCCTTGAATCTGTATTCACCACCGTAATAAATTACAGAGTGTTTTATATATATTTTTCTTCGTTCCCCTTTCGTTGGAGGCCCTGTTCAATATTTATTGTCCGGTTCTTGTTTCTAAGGGATCTTCAGTGAGATCCTAGCCCTTATCTGCGAGATTTTCCTTGATTTTTGGAGGAAATCTCGAGTGGTTTAGAGTTTCATGCTATAATTATTGTCCTCTTGTTGTTTTGTGGATGCCTCTTGTTAGCCAGCTATTCTCTTCTCGCCTCTTCTGCTCTTTCATCCAAGAGAAGCTCGAGACCTAGGTCTCTGAACTCTGGACTCCTTATCTGACCTCCTTGTCTGACCTTACTTCCCGAGCTCATACTTAGTTAAAATTCTTTTCATGTATCATCAATTGCCCCCTAGCCCTTGGTTCAAGCAAGCTTGGGCAAGGGCTGAACTTAGATTGAGTCGTGGTAGTCCTCCGCCTAGTGACCTCGATATACGTGCGAACAAGTTTTTGACGGTTACAAGTAATCACTTTTTCCCACGTTTCTAATGCACGTTCCCCACTTCGATNAAGAAGAGAGAAAAACCCTAATTGTGCACGCATTATTCTGCAAGTCTCTCTAATTATCAATAAAAAAAAAAGGAGCAAGAGCCTCCATTATAGAGTGGACTAGCCGAGCACCCAAGCNCGGTTACAAGTAATCACTTTTTCCCACGTTTCTAATGCACGTTCCCCACTTCGATGCCCCTCATACCGTTAGTTTTAAATGCTTCTGGATCAACGGCTCCCATTTCACTCTTCAAGTTCTCTCTAGCTTTTTCCTTTTTACTTTTTTGCGATTTCAACTTCCCAAGTTTGCCGTCGTTCTTAGGGGCTTCAAAGCGAGGTGATTTCCCCCTGATTTGATCTGAAGGCTCAACGAGGCTTGCTCTCTGGCTTTGTTCTGAGCTTTAATCCATCGTTCGTTATTTCTTAGGTACGTCTTTCGTCTCTTTCCCATTTCCTCATTCTGGATCCCTCAAATCTGAGGTGGTTATTGCATTTCTAGACTTTTCGGTTCTGCTATTTTAGGAGTCAGGATCGCTCCCTGTCTTGGCTCCCTCTCTTCCTGGTCCTTACTTTACGGCTATGATTTTTGTCATTGGTTGTTGGTGTCTTGCCCCCTTGACCCTCAGAGAGTGTTTCTATGAGGTTCCCCTCTTTATAGGTCCTTTAAACTTCCTTACTCTTGCCCAGTTATGTCTACCTCGTCTAAAGCCACAAGTTCGTCTATTTTCCTTATGAGGATCAAGTCTCCTGAAACATAGGATTCTGATTTGGGAGACGTGAGAGAGGAGATTGATAGCTTTCCTGGTGTTGATTCTGTCGACATCAAGGAAAATGTTGAGGAGCCTCCCTCTTCGTTTTCCCCAATGCCTAAAAACCCTCATAAGGGTAAAGCCAAGGTGAGCAGCGTAGAGATTTTTGGTAGTGGCAAGGGTGAGTGCGGGTGCGGGTGCAATCTCCAGAGTTGCAAAGCTCGTGGGCTTCAGCGATATCACTCCTTCCTATATGAAGGTCCTGGCTGCCCGCTTTGGTNAAATATAGAGTGAATTTAGTAATTTAAAATAAGAGGATTAAATGAAGTGAGAGAAAAAATTTAAAGGGTGAGAATAGTCCAATTCATTAATTTAATGTATAAATTAGGTGCACAAAGTTTTACTTTATTCAAATGTAATAAGAAAAAGGAATGGAAGATCCATGATTTGATTTACCGCCACAATAGCAAACCCAACCATAGAATGCAATTGAACGACCTCGTTCAATGCACAAGACAAACCATTATTATCTCGTCCAAACAACGCCGGCTTCAATCCGTAGTTTTCCCTGAAGCAAAATTGACCTTCGGACACGGGTATTTCGCTGGTTTTCGTCCCGCAGAAATTCTTCAAAANTTGTTCCCTTGCTTATGAAGTTTTTCAACGGTAAGTATACCCCTTGTGACGGTTTTTTGTACATCTCCACGCGAGTGAAAACTAAGGTTATCATCTCCGACCTCCCGAGCTCCCACAAGGAATGAAATTTTTTTTTCTTTTTTGTGGGGGGCAGACTATGGGTATATAACTCTACAAATGTTACAGACATTTTTCCAGTTCCTAGGAATTGGTCTGCCTCTGACAACCTGGGTAAGTTTTCGCCTGAGCAAACTAGGATCAATTCTGACTACCTGCCCTACTTACTCCCCCCCTAGTTTGTTTTTTTTTTTTTAGGTATTCGACCTGAACTTGGCATTGTTGATAAGCGAGTTTTATAGAGCTTGGTGGATTGCGACTTTAGAGAAATACTCAGAGCTCATCAAGCCTCAGGTTCTAGTAAAGCTCAGATTCGGTCTTCTTGAGGTGAGGATCGAGACCCCTATTCCCATCTATGTTGCCAACGCTGAGAGGGTATCAGGTAACGCCTTTTTCAGCCCGTTGCTGGCTTTTGGCTTTCCCTCCTTATTTTTTCCTTTTAAATTGGCTCATTTTGTGCTCCCAGGTTCCCCTTCAATGAAGCCTACTCAGGAAGCACTCCAAGCCAAGGTTGCTCTTCTAAAGAAAAATAGGAGCGAAAGCAAACGCAGAGCTGACGTTGGTTTTGCTGGCGACCTCACTCCTCAAGCCAAGGTACCAAGGTTGGGGTTATCCCCTGTGTCTCCAGCTTCTTTTCAAGTGGCTCTTACTCCTCCATCAAGCTTTCTGTAGGCTGTGGAGACCTCTTCCCTTCAAAAGATCCCACTTGCGATCAAGAAGATTTATGAGCAAGATCCGACCTCTCCTACTTCTGTCGAGGTCGAAAAGGCTTTGGAGACGATCTCTCATGTTCAATCCGCTCTTACCTCTTCGGGGCCCTCAGAGAAATTTTTGCAGCTGTCTCAAACGAGCTCTAAGGCTGAGAAAGGGAAGTATATCAAAGAAGAAAAAGATGATGATTCTTTTTTTGACAATGTTCAGCTTATTATCGGTGCCCTTGACTCCATCATTTCTTCTACCGACGTTCGGAGGGCCGCCATTATGCCACTTGAAAATTCTGTTAGTTTAGCATTGCATGGAGCTGCTGCTGTAAGATCCCTTCCTCTTTTGGCCTTACTCTCACTTTAAGTAGCCATTTTATGTTGACCTTTACCTCTGGTTGCATTTGTTTTCAGCTGGCCATTTATGTGAAGGGTTTGTTAAGTTGAATTCAAGATTTGGAGAGCTTTGGCCTTGAGCTGTATTTTGCCAATAATGCCCTCTAAACCCAAATTCAAGACCTATAGGCATAGGTGGAAAAACAAAAGCTTCTATCGTCAAAATGTTGGAGACGAACGAGGAAAGGATCACGAAGGACCTTAGGCATAAGACTGATGCCTGGGCCAAGGCCAGCCAGGAGGCATTTGAAGCTATAGGCTCCTACAGGAATATGAAAAAATAATACGACATCCTGGCTGAGGCGAATGACACTCTTCGGAGTGAACTCGAGGCGCAGAGGTCCATGGTGAAGGAGAAGGATGACCTAGTTGTCCAGCTGATGGATGACGTCACGACTAAGTGGGCATCCTGGTCTGAATTTTGACTTTGAGATCCCAGCTCAAGAGGAGGCAGAGGAGACCATTGTAGAGGAGACATATGGGATTTTGGCCCCTTCTACTTTTGAGCTTACTCCTAGTAGTGTTATGACATCTAATCCTCCTGGTGAGGTCTTGGCTCAAGAGCTTCCTGCTTCTCTAATCATTCCTGCGGCTCCTGCCTTAGGGATCACTTCTATACCTGTTATAGCTGAGCTCCCTTTTGTCCCTTCTGTTGCCCCTGCTACCAGTTCTTTCTCTGCTGAGCTTGTGAACAAAGCTCTAAATCCACCAATAGCCGGAGCTGAGGTTCCTGCTTCTGTCTCCTTGAGACTTCTCCTGCTTCAGGATCTTTGGGAGCTTCAACTATTAAGCTTCCAAGCTCTTCACCTACCCTTGTTGCTAGGACTTTAGTCTCTGAACAGCTGGAATCTTCTTCTCAAACTTAGGGCTTTTTTTTTTTTGAACTTTTTTGAACTCCTATACCCAAACACTGTTTCTTTGAGTTATTGATATAAATACATATTGTTGTTTTGTCTGCTTTGCTGTATATATATTTCCCTACCCCTTGCTTGGAGGAGTACTTCAGTTCTCCTCGAAGTAACCATATTTTATGCCAATGAACTGAGCTGGAGAACTCTTTCTTGCTAGTGGGCTTGATATCTTTTACTATGACAAGAGGCTTGCTAGACTTTTCAAAGAGCTCTCTGCACTTAAAATAGGGCGAATTCACGGCCGAAGTCTCCGCAATTCGCCATTTATTTATGAAGCTGAGGTGGCTATGGCAAGCATGCACGTTGCCCTTTGTAATCTATTTTTTGAAAGCAATTGAGTTACCTTCACTAGGTACTAGGTGTGAAAAATTCCTTGATCAGCAAGAATCCTTGGATTTAGAATCCCGGGACTCAAANTGTGCTCCCAGGTTCCCCTTCAATGAAGCCTACTCAGGAAGCACTCCAAGCCAAGGTTGCTCTTCTAAAGAAAAATAGGAGCGAAAGCAAACATAGAGCTGAGGTTGGTTCTGCTGGCGACCTCACTCCTCAAGCCAAGGTACCAAGGTTGGGGTTATCCCCTGTGTCTCCAGCTTCTTTTCAAGTGGCTCTTACTCCTCCATCAAGCTTTCTGTAGGCTATGGAGACCTCTTCCCTTCAAAAGATCCCACTTGCGATCAAGAAGATTTATGAGCAAGATCTGACCTCTCCTACTTCTGTCGAGCTCGAAAAGGCTTTGGAGACGATCTCTCATGTTCAATCCGCTCTTACCTCTTCAGGGCCCTCAGAGAAATTTTTGCAGCTGTCTCAAACGAGCTCTAAGGCTGAGAAAGGGAAGTATATCAAAGAAGAAAAAGATGATGATTCTTTTTTTGACAATGTTGAGCTTACTATCGGTGCCCTTGACTCCATCATTTCTTCTACCGACGTTCAGAGGGCCGCCATTATGCCACTTGAAAATTCTGTTAGTTTAGCATTGCATGGAGCTGCTGCTGTAAGATCCCTTCCTCTTTTGGCCTTACTCTCACTTTAAGTAGCCATTTTATGTTGACCTTTACCTCTGGTTGCATTTGTTTTCAGCTGGCCATTTATGTGAAGGGTTTGTTAAGTTGAATTCAAGATTTGGAGAGCTTTGGCCTTGAGCTGTATTTTGCCAATAATGCCCTCTAAACCCAAATTCAAGACCTATAGGCATAGGTGGAAAAACAAAAGCTTCTATCGTCAAAATGTTGGAGACGAACGAGGAAAGGATCACGAAGGACCTTAGGCATAAGACTGATGCCTGGGCCAAGGCCAGCCAGGAGGCATTTGAAGCTATAGGCTCCTACAGGAATATGAAAAAATAATACGACATCCTGGCTGAGGCGAATGACACTCTTCGGAGTGAACTCGAGGCGCAGAGGTCCATGGTGAAGGAGAAGGATGACCTAGTTGTCCAGCTGATGGATGACGTCACGACTAAGTGGGCATCCTGGTCTGAATTTTGACTTTGAGATCCCAGCTCAAGAGGAGGCAGAGGAGACCATTGTAGAGGAGACATATGGGATTTTGGCCCCTTCTACTTTTGAGCTTACTCCTAGTAGTGTTATGACATCTAATCCTCCTGGTGAGGTCTTGGCTCAAGAGCTTCCTGCTTCTCTAATCATTCCTGCGGCTCCTGCCTTAGGGATCACTTCTATACCTGTTATAGCTGAGCTCCCTTTTGTCCCTTCTGTTGCCCCTGCTACCAGTTCTTTCTCTGCTGAGCTTGTGAACAAAGCTCTAAATCCACCAATAGCCGGAGCTGAGGTTCCTGCTTCTGTCTCCTTGAGACTTCTCCTGCTTCAGGATCTTTGGGAGCTTCAACTATTAAGCTTCCAAGCTCTTCACCTACCCTTGTTGCTAGGACTTTAGTCTCTGAACAGCTGGAATCTTCTTCTCAAACTTAGGGCTTTTTTTTTTTTGAACTTTTTTGAACTCCTATACCCAAACACTGTTTCTTTGAGTTATTGATATAAATACATATTGTTGTTTTGTCTGCTTTGCTGTATATATATTTCCCTACCCCTTGCTTGGAGGAGTACTTCAGTTCTCCTCGAAGTAACCATATTTTATGCCAATGAACTGAGCTGGAGAACTCTTTCTTGCTAGTGGGCTTGATATCTTTTACTATGACAAGAGGCTTGCTAGACTTTTCAAAGAGCTCTCTGCACTTAAAATAGGGCGAATTCACGGCCGAAGTCTCCGCAATTCGCCATTTATTTATGAAGCTGAGGTGGCTATGGCAAGCATGCACGTTGCCCTTTGTAATCTATTTTTTGAAAGCAATTGAGTTACCTTCACTAGGTACTAGGTGTGAAAAATTCCTTGATCAGCAAGAATCCTTGGATTTAGAATCCCGGGACTCAAACTGGTATTCTGATTGACATAAACAAGTTGTTCTCTGTCCTGCAATGCTTCTTCAATTTCTGCCTTATTTCTAGCAGCATCCTTCACATCAGCTGAGTAGCCCTTTTGACTGGAACATTGGGTGTCGAGAGAATGCCTTGAGTGTCAACATAACACTCCTTGCTCCACGCTATAACATACTTCACTTGGGCCACTAATAAGCAGAGGAACTAGCGCCTACCTTTCTTTATGTTTCTGTGCTAAGGCTGCCAANTATGGAGACCTCTTCCCTTCAAAAGATCCCACTTGCGATCAAGAAGATTTATGAGCAAGATCTGACCTCTCCTACTTCTGTCGAGCTCGAAAAGGCTTTGGAGACGATCTCTCATGTTCAATCCGCTCTTACCTCTTCAGGGCCCTCAGAGAAATTTTTGCAGCTGTCTCAAACGAGCTCTAAGGCTGAGAAAGGGAAGTATATCAAAGAAGAAAAAGATGATGATTCTTTTTTTGACAATGTTGAGCTTACTATCGGTGCCCTTGACTCCATCATTTCTTCTACCGACGTTCGGAGGGCCGCCATTATGCCACTTGAAAATTCTGTTAGTTTAGCATTGCATGGAGCTGCTGCTGTAAGATCCCTTCCTCTTTTGGCCTTACTCTCACTTTAAGTAGCCATTTTATGTTGACCTTTACCTCTGGTTGCATTTGTTTTCAGCTGGCCATTTATGTGAAGGGTTTGTTAAGTTGAATTCAAGATTTGGAGAGCTTTGGCCTTGAGCTGTATTTTGCCAATAATGCCCTCTAAACCCAAATTCAAGACCTATAGGCATAGGTGGAAAAACAAAAGCTTCTATCGTCAAAATGTTGGAGACGAACGAGGAAAGGATCACGAAGGACCTTAGGCATAAGACTGATGCCTGGGCCAAGGCCAGCCAGGAGGCATTTGAAGCTATAGGCTCCTACAGGAATATGAAAAAATAATACGACATCCTGGCTGAGGCGAATGACACTCTTCGGAGTGAACTCGAGGCGCAGAGGTCCATGGTGAAGGAGAAGGATGACCTAGTTGTCCAGCTGATGGATGACGTCACGACTAAGTGGGCATCCTGGTCTGAATTTTGACTTTGAGATCCCAGCTCAAGAGGAGGCAGAGGAGACCATTGTAGAGGAGACATATGGGATTTTGGCCCCTTCTACTTTTGAGCTTACTCCTAGTAGTGTTATGACATCTAATCCTCCTGGTGAGGTCTTGGCTCAAGAGCTTCCTGCTTCTCTAATCATTCCTGCGGCTCCTGCCTTAGGGATCACTTCTATACCTGTTATAGCTGAGCTCCCTTTTGTCCCTTCTGTTGCCCCTGCTACCAGTTCTTTCTCTGCTGAGCTTGTGAACAAAGCTCTAAATCCACCAANTTTCAAACATCACTGGGCCATATATAACAATAAACAATATCTGGTTCACCACTAATCTTAAACTGGTTTCAAGCATTTTTTTTCCTCCTCCTCCTCAATGCAGAACAAACAATTTCTAAAGTAGTTTTCTGCTACTTTGATCCTTACGCTCGATCAGGTGGTTGTCTAGACTTCCCTGCTCTCCTGAAGAAGCATTTACACAATGTTAAACACACAAATACACACACAAAAAGAAGGTTGGGGGGGGGAGAGAGAGATTATAATTTAGGGTAAAAATCAGAATTCATCTCTGAACTTTATCTTCAGTTTTAATTTAGTCCCTAAATTTTTAATTGTCTCAATTTAATCCATCAACTATCAATTTCATGTCAGTTAAGTCCTTGCATTAATTTTCATCGTTAGATCAATCGGAGACTAGTCGAATCTGAACTATTTCAGCGTTGATCTAATGATGGAAATGAACGGAATGACTTAATAGAGATAAAACTAATAGTTGAAAAACTAAATTGAAACGATTAAAAGTTTAGGAATTAAATTAAATGTTTGAACTAAATTACGCATATTTCGACTAATTTTCTCTCTGATTCGATTCTGAGATAGGTCATTCACGCTAAAATTAAAGTATTTGAGTTGATGAGTCTCAATGAAAGCACATAAATTTCAACANGTGCATGTCTAACTACTTTCTAGAAGTATAACTGCCTTCTCAATTTGGAAAACCCAAAGGTCCACCAACTTAGTGTTTCATGCACTTCTTGATTTCCTAAAACTTGGTGTTCTCACGAGGTTTCTATAATTTCTTGGGTTTTCTCTAGTCTTGGAGTCCCTTCTTGAATCTTGGAAGCTTCCTCCCTTCGCTTTCTTGTTCTTTGCTTTCTTCCCCTTTGGATTTCTTATGGCTGCCCCCCTTTCTTCTCTGTTCAAGTAACGAACTTCTTTTGGGATCGAATGGAAGTGGCATTCTCGCTACTTAGTCCCTTCAACGTTGACATCTTCTGACTTGGATGGGATCAAGAAATAGTACTTCCCTGACTTGGACCTGCCCCTACGAGTCCCACCCCCTGATGAGCCTTGCAATTAACTTCCTTCAAGGGAGACTTGCTTCTTCAAATGAGCTTTGGAGATGGGCCTACGTCTTCCCATTCATCCCTCTGTTGGGTTTATCCTGGCTCACTGTGGCTTGTGCCCTTCTCGCCTCTCCCTCAAAGGATGGGTTGCCATGATTAGCTTTTTTCTCTTTTGGCACTTACGGGGCAAGAACGAGTTTCCTACAATGGCTGAGTTTCTTTATTTTTTGATCTTGAAGAGGATGAGGTCCCCTGCTTTTGTTATTTTCAGTGGAGGCATTTTAAACTACATCTTCTTATTCTTGACCTTCCTTCCTCTCTAGATGGATGGGCTCAGCGCTTCTTCTGAAGTAGGGAACCTTATCCTCTTCAAGCTCGTAAAAGTAAAGAAACTCAGCTATTATAGGAAACTCATTATTGCCCTGTAGTCTCCAGAAGATGAAGAAGCTGACCATAGCACCCCATCCTCTAGGGGAAAGACGAGAAGGGCACAATCCATAGTAAGTCAGGATCCACCCAATAGAAGGATGGATGGAAAGACGAAGGCCTATCTCTAGAGCTCCTTCAAAGAAACAAACCTCCCCTCGAGGAAAGTAATTGCAAGGCTCATCAAAGGATGAGACTCGTAGAGGCAAATCCAAGTCAGGGAAGAATCGCCTCTTAATCTCATCCAAGTCCAAAGGTGCCATCACCGAAGGGACTAAATAATTGGAATGCAATTTTCAATCAATCCCAAAGGAAGTTCATTCCTTGAACAAAGAAGAAAGAGGGGCAGCCATCAAAAATCCAGAGGAAAGGAAAGCAAAGAACATGAAGCCTCCAAGATTCAAGAATAGACACCAAGAATAAGGAAAGTCCAAGAAGTTATGGAAACCTCACAAGAACGCAGAGGTTTGAGGAATCAAGAAACGCACGAAAACGAAGGTGACAAACCTTTGAGTTTCCAAATTAAGAGGGCAGTTACATTTTCGGAAAGTAGTTGGGCACAGGCAATAAAGAGAAAAGCAATTCCCAACTCTACCATCACAACTTTGCTAGTTTTGGGAGCCTAGACCTCTAAGCATAGTTAACACGATCATGTGCTAGCTCGAGATCAGGACAATAGCTATTGAGAAGCAGTACCCATTTGAGCCTTTGAAGTACTCGAGGCTCTATAACAAGAAGAAGGGATTTAAACACTGAAGGAAACTAATGTGGAAATTGATCCTCTTGGCGACCTTAGCACAAAAACAAAAAGGGAAATAGGTTTTGCTAGTGGCCAAATGGTAAAGTATGCTACGAGTTTGAGCAAGCAATGTTATATTGATATCTAAGGCATTGTCTCGACACCCAGTGTTTCAATCTAGAGAGCTACTTAGCAGGTGGACTTTCACGTGAGGAAACTTTACCGCATCGGTAAGGCTACGCCTACACTACCTATTGATGTGAAGGATGCTGCTAGAAGTGATGCGAAAATTAAAAAGACATCGCAGGACGAAGAACAACTTGTTTATGTCAATTAGGATACCTGTCTGAGTCTCAGAGTTCTAAACTCATGAATTCTTGCTGGTTAAAGGATTTCTCACATCCTATGCCAAGTTGAAATATATTCAGACAACCTTCGTTGTATGAAGGTTCTGTTAGAATCCATGCACCAAAATTGATGACAGACGTAGCTCAGTTGTTTTCAAACTAGATTACAAAGGGCAACCTGCATGCTTGGCACAGTCACCTCAGCTTCACAAGCAAATGGCAATCCGTGGAGACTTCGGCCGTACTTTTGAGAATTGGCCCTATTTTTAGAGCAGAAAGTCCTTTGCCAAATCCAGCAAGCCCCGTAAGAAATATCAAACTCACCAGTAAGAATGAGCCCTTTAGTTCAGCAATCCAAATAGTTCTATGGCTCTGAACATGTTTGCTTCAAGGAGAGCTGAAGTATTCCTAAAAGCAAAGGGGCAAGGGGATATACAACAAAACAGTATATAGCAATACATGCACAACAACACGAAAACTCAAGGGAAAGTAGTATATATTTACATCAATAACTCGGAGAAATAGTGTCTGTGTATAGAAGTTCAAAAAAAAAAAAAGAGAACCCTAAGTCTGAGAAGAAGAGTCCAGTTGTTCAATGGCTGAAGTCCTACCAGTGGAGACAGGAGAAGAGCTTGGAAGCTTAGCAGTTGAAGCTTCCAAAGGTCTCGAAGTAGGCAAGAGAGGAGAAGCCTCAGGGAGCCCAAGAGTAGGAACCTCAGCTTCAGCTGTTGGTGGATTTAGAGCTCTGTTCACAAGTTCAGTAGAGAAAGAAGTATCTGCAGGAACAACAGAAGGAACGACTGGGAGCTCAGTAGACAAAATAATAGAAGAAGGAGGAATATCTTGAGCCAAGACCTCAGCAGACAGGACAGGCGTCATAGCCCTGACAGGAGTTAGCTTAGGAGCAGGAGGGGCCAAGGCACCACCCTCACCCTCTGCATTGGACGTCTCTGCTTCCACCTGAGCTGGGATCTCAAAGTCAAAGTTCAGATCGAGATATACTTCTTCAGCTTGGTCTTGGAAGGTAAGTCATCCGGTGGCCCATTTGGTAGTAACATCGTCCATCAACTTGGCAATTAGATCATCTTTCTCTTTGACAATGGCTCTCTGCCCCTCAAGCTCACTCCGGAGAACATCACTTATCTCAACCAACAAGTCATACTCTTTTTTCATACTTCTATAAGAGCCTAGAGCCTCAAATGTTTCTTGGCTAGCCTTGGCCAAACATCAGTCTTAAGCCTAAGGTCTTCCTTGATCCTCTCTTCGTTCGCCTCCAAATCTTTGATAGTAGAAGCTTGTCTTTCCACCCGCGCCTGTAGATCTTGAATTTGGGTTTGGAGGTCATTATTAGCAAAAGCCAGATCGATGGCTTTTGAGCTTGAATGCCTTCAATGCTTTGGTAGAGCTCTCTAGATCTCGAATTCGACTCAACAAACCCTTCACATTAATGGCCAGCTGAAAACAAATGCAATCAGAGGCTAAAGTCAGCATAAAATAACGGCCTAAGGTGAAAGTGAGACCTAAAGAGGAAGGGATCTTACAGCAGCAGCCCCATAAAGTGCTGAACTAATGGAATTTTTAAGAGGCATAATAGCAGCCCTCCAAACATCGGTAGTAGGAATGATGGAGTCAAGGGCATCGGCAGCGAGTTCAACATTATCGAAGAAAGAGTCATTATCTTTCTCTTCTTTGACATACTTCCCTTTCTCAGCCTTGGAGCTCATTTGAGACAGCTGCAAAAATTTCTCTGATGGTCCAAAAGAGGGAAGAATATGTTGAACGCAATAGATCATCTCCAAAGCCCTCTCGACCTCAACAAAAGAAGGAGAGGTTGGATCTTGCTCAGAAACCTTCCTAGTGGCAAGCGGGGTCTCTTGGAGAGAAGAGGTCTCCATAGCCTGCAGAGAGATTGATAGAGGAATAAGAGCCACTTTAGTTGAAGCTGGAGAAGCAGGGGCAATCTCAACCTTGGCACCTTGGCTTGAGAAACGAGGTTGCTACCAGAACCAACCTCAGCTTTACGCTTGCTCTCGCTCTTATTTTTCTTCAGCAGAGCAACCTTGGGCTGTAGTGCTTCTTGAGCAGGCTTCATTGAAGAAGAACCTGAAAACACAGAATGAGCCAATACAAAAAAAAAAGAACAAGGAGGAAGAGCTAAAAGCCAGAAATAGGCAGGGAAATCGTTACCTGACACCCCCTCGGCGCTGGCAACAGAGATGGAAATAGGGGTCTCGATCCTCACCTCAGGAAGACTAAATCCGAGCTCTACAAGAACTTGAGGCTTGATAAGCTCTGATATTTCTTCGAATCACAATCCGCCAAGTTCATTAAAACTCGCTTATCAACAACGCTAAGTTTAGGTCGGACACCTAAAGAGCAAGACAAAGCAAACAAAGTAAAGTTAGCAAAGTAGGCCATCAAAACTGATCCTAGTTTGCTTAGGCGAAAACTTACCCAGGTTGTCAGGGACAGACCAATCCCCAGGAACTGGAAAAGTATATGTTACATCTGTAGAATTGTAGTCCCATGGTTTGCCCCCCACAAAGAAGAAAAGTTTTTTTCAACCCTTGTGGGAGGTCGGAGATGATAACCTTAGTTTTCATTCGTTTGAAAATGTACAAAAAGTCGTTAAAAAGGATATACTTAACAGTAAAAAACTTCATAAGCAAAGGGACGGAGGGAACCCCTAGCTCATGTTTCTTAAAGAAAACGAGAAGACCCACCAGTATGCCCCAAAAGTTAGGAGAAAGTTGAGTAGGGCAGACGTTAAAATGTTGCAGAACACTCTTGATAAAGGGATGAATTGGAAAGCAGAGGCCATTCTCAAAGACGGCCAGGAAAAAGCAAGTTTTCTTAGGGACTAGAGAGTCATATCAGGTATACATATCTGAACATCAGTACTCCACGCCCAGAGGGAAACCAAGGCATACAGCCAGAACCTTCATATAAGAAGGAGTGACGTCATTGAAGTCCACGAGCTCTCCAGCTCTAGAGATAGCCCCAACACCCTCGCCACTACCAGAGATCCCTATGCCGCTCACCTTAACTTTACCTTTATTAGGGTTTTTGGGCACGGGGAAGGACAATGGATGAGGCTCCTTGACATTTTTCTCAACATCGACAGAAGCAACGCTTGAGAAATTATCAATCTTCTTGCCCACATCTCCCAGATCAATATCTTCCTCGGTAGACTTGTCCCCTATTAGGAAAATAGTGTAACCTATGGCTTTGGAAGAAGTAGACATGGTTGGGCAAGAGAAAGGAAGTTTAAAGGACCTATAAAGAGGGGGAACCTCATAAAAACACCCTCTAAAGGTTAAGGGGGTGAAACACCAGTGACCGACGACAAAGATCCTAGTAGTAGAATAGGGGTCCAAAAATAGGGGAAGACGAGACAAGGAGTAACCTCGATTCCTAAAATAGTAGAATCGAAAAGTCTAGAAATGTAGTAACCACCTTAGATTCGAGGGATCTAGAACGAAGAAACACGTAAGGGACAGGAAGCGTACCTAATCAAGGGCGAATGGCAAATTAAAACCAAAAGTGAAAACAAAGAGCAAGCCTTGCAAGCCAATTCAAGCAAGGACGATATTCAGCTGAACCCTAAGATTACCGGTAGATTGGGGAAACGGGGAATGCAAGGAAGAAGAAAAGCCTAGGGGGAGAATTCAAAGAGTGAAATAAGAGTCGTTTCCCATCAATTCAGAGGCATTTAAAGCTAACGGTACGTGGAACTTTAAAGTGGAGAACGTGCGCAAGAAACGAGAGAGAAAATAATTACCTGAAACCGTCAAAAACCTGTTCGTGCACGTATCGAGGCCACCAGATGGAGGTCTACCTCAACTCAGCCTTAGTCCAGCCCTTGTCCAAGTCTGCTTGGACCAAGGACTAGGAAGCAACTGATGATACATGGAAAGGATTTTAACTAAGTATGAGCTCAAGAAGTGAGTTCAGACAAGGAGGTCAGATAAGGCACCCCAGGCTCAGAGGTCCAGACCTCGAGCTCCCTTCGGAGGAAACAGTAAAGGAAATAAGAAGGAAACAACTGGGTAACAGAAGGCTATAACTAAGGCAAGAAACTTTTAACCACCCAAGATCTTCTCCCAAAATCAAGGGAGATCCTGCAGATAAAGGGCAAGGATCTCGCTGCAAATCCCTTAGAGATAGGGGTTGGACTATAAATATTGTACAGTGCCTCCAACAAGGGAGGGAAAACCCCGATTATATCAGAATCACTCTATAATTTATAACAGCCATCAATATAGATCTGAGTAGCAAGAGACTCAATTTAAGAGTGAACTAGCCGAGCTCCCGAGTTCAGTGAACCACTATACTTTCACTATACAAGTCATCCCAACTCCCAAAGAATCTTATCATAATCCTCACGAACTTTGTAACACTTAGATTCAGGCTTATTTGCGTAATTTATACATTCTGCACAATCCACTTAATTAACACCATCAGTTGGAAACAAGAAAACAAAAAGTGTCCAATTCTATGTCGAGGTGATGGATGTGGTTCAAACACTTGGGGGTGGAAAGAGATCAGCCTATGATCCAGATGAGATTGAGGAGGAACAAAGGGAGAGGGATCAAAAGAACAAAATCAACATGGACTTCCAGAATTTCGTGAACCGGGTAAATGATCTCTGGGGCCAGCCTCAATATAAAGGACTTGATCTGGAGTTTGATCAGCCTTGTAGGGAACTCGGCTTTCTTGGGGTGCCGTACAAAGCTTCCGTTTTCATCGTCCCAACTTCAACCTGCCTGGTTGAGCTGATAGAGAGACCTTTCCTCGTTATCACTCTAAGTAAGATTGATATTGTCTATGTAGAGGGGGTTGGTCTTGGACAGAAAAATTGTGACATGGCAAATGTTTTCAAAGACTTCAAGGGTGATATGCTTCGTATTGATTCTATTCCTTCCACATCACTTGGTGGCATCAAGGAATGACTTGATACGACATATCTCAAGTACTATGAAAGTAGACTAAATCTGAACTGGCATCAGAAATTGAAGACCATCACTGATGACCCACAAGGGTTCATAGAGGATGGGGGATGGGAATTCTTGAACATGGAAGCTAGTGATTATGATTCCGAGAACTCGGAGGACTCAGATCAAGGTTATGCACCATCAGAGGCTGAGCCTGAGTCGGACTCGGAGGATGATGACTTAGACAGTGAGTCGCTTGTAGAATCTAAGGACGATGAGCAGGAGGAGGATTCAGAGGCAGACTCAGAGGACAAGAAGGGTAAGACAGGGGAGGAGTTGGAGAGAGAAGCTAGCCATGCAGACAGGGAGAAAGGGAATGAGTCTGACAGCGAGGAGGAGCGGAGGAGGAGGAAGATGAAGGCGTTTGGAAAGTCCTGGGCTGGTCCTAGTAGTAGTGCTCCTAAGTGGCCAAAGTTTTTAAGATAGATGTGATGCAACTCTCGTTTTTTGTAACTTCGTCAGATTTATGTGTGTGCTGCAAAGATGTAGTTTTATAACTTAGTTTCAGCACACAGGTTTTTTATTTTGACTTTAAATTTGGTCTTAAAATTTGATCAGTCTAACATTACTTTTTCTTTTAATATGTTGTGTGTCTTGGGGACCTAAGAGGATGCATGGATCACAGATTTTGCCCGTAAATTGGTGGCCTTGGCTTTATTGGAAGAAATTTCTTTTGTGTGCTTATTTTGTTTGTCTCGTAGATAATTTTTTTTTCTTTTACATTTGAATAATTAATACAAATGATAGAATTGTCATGTTCTCCTCTTCTCTCTCTCCCCCTTTTCTCTCCCTTGTGCTCTCTCTCTCCTTATTTGATTTTATTTTTCAATAAATCTGTTTTGTCAAAATAAGGCTCTGCCGACATACCTCGGGAAAACAAAAATGTCTTCTCCAACAAGACTACTAATTTAAATAATTAACTGACTCTAATAAAATAATATTCTATTTTGACTAAGATTAATTAACAACTAATAATAAAATAACTAATTATTAATAGTTTAAGTTAATTTTCAATAGTCTTCGTAACATATGAATTCCTGTTTAGAGGACATGAAATTACAACATATTCAAAAAATTACATGTGAGAAAAAATTGTTTGAAATTGTTCAAAGGTTAATGGGAAAATTTCAGTCACATCCCTTTTAATTTATCCTATTTTCAAGAACACCACATCTATTTTTTGAATCTTCACTGACACCCCTATTAGATTGAAAATATTAGTTAGAATATAATTTTACTAAATTACCCATGATATATTTGAGAAAAATTTCATCCACACCCCCTCTAGATAGACATATTTTAAATGAGACTTCCTTTGTTTTCTAATTTTTTTTACATATTAAAATTCGGGTCAATTAAAATTCGATTCGAGCTAATTAAAATTTATTTTTTATGTATTAAAATTCAAATTGATTAAAAATTATATTGTTTTACGTATTAAAATTTGAGCCTATTAAAAATCATTTTTAATCGGCTCAAATCAAATTTTAATCAACTCGCAATAAGTTTTAATCTGCACAATTTTTGATACATGAAAAATATAAATTTTAATTGGCTTAAATTTTAATGAATCTAATTTTAATTAACATGAATTTTAATAAGTAAAAAAATATAAATTTTAATCACCTCAAATCGAATTTTAATCAGCACTAACAATTCAAGTATAGCTCAAATCGGCTCGAATTTTAAAACATAAAAAAGAAATTTTAATAGGCTCAAATTTTAATATGTAAAACAAAAAAATTTAATCAGCTCAATTAAAATTTTAATTAACTCAAATTTTAATATATAGAAAAATAAATTTTAATCAACTCAAATCGAATTTTAATTGGATCAAATTTTAATATGTACAAAAATAATTTTAATGAACTCAAATTTTAATATGTAAAGAAATGAATTTTAATCAGCTTGAATTTTATATAGAAAGATTGTTAGGGGTTTTGTAGGGGGCATTTTTGATATTTTAGATGACTTTTTTTTTTTTCAATGGTTGTTTAATAGCATGAGTGTTAGTGATGTTTGAATATAAACTAGCAGGGTGTCAATGATGTTTTTGATTATAAAGGGGGGTCCTTGAAGATATAATAAAGTAAAAGGAATGTGACTGAAATTTATAAAGCAAACATGTTGTTGGATTGTATAGATTAAATGTAAAAGAGTTGATGGTACCATATTTCATCACCCTTCTCTATAGGTCTTACAGAAGTACTTATGTGTTATCTAAACACCGAAAATGATAAGATATATCCATTAAATCCTAACTAGTCCAATGATAAGTGAGTTTGAGTTAAATAGGATATCATATTTTTTTGGAGATTGTTGTAGACTGGTACACAATTTAGGACTTCATTGGGTAAAAGTTCTTCGGGTAAAATTGTTTGTGTAGAGGTCCTTTTTATTTGTGAATATCAAATATACCCACATTAAAAACTAATTGGCTCAAACTAAGAATTTGAAAACCACTGGAAATCAAGCAGCATACCCATGAAAACAGCTGACAATGATATCCAACAAAATAGGTTGCTTGAAATTCAAATAAAAAATACCATAAAATCCATTAACATCTGGAAGCATAACACATCGCTTTTGGGGACTAGGGTTGTTATCATTGGGTTTTTACATGACAGTAATACATTACAGTGTAACAACTTTAATAACCGACAAAAGATATGCAAGTACATTTTCCGATTCATGCAAAAGCTAAACAATATGTTTTACACAATGTAATATCTACAGTTTGACAAATACATATATTATTTTTACGGAATGACAGTGTTACATAACAATGTAACAACACAATAAAACAACTGTAATTGGGTATAAAAAGTTTGACAATTAAGTGTGATATCCATTCACCGCTACCTTAAGAACAATCATAGTGTATTCCAAAAAATTAAATTAAACTAAATTAGACACCGATTATAAATTCATTAACAAGTTGTTGAAGTAGAAAAAAACAAAACCTCTAGGCGAAAACAACAAACGTTGAAGAAGGAGTAAATAGCCTGTGAGTGGAAACCGCAAACATTGTAGTAGAAGACAAGCACCAGACATTGAAGTAAAAAATGACACATTGAAGTATAACACAAGCCTTTTAAGTATAAGAAGATGATATACGTTTAAAATGCAAAAAATAAAGTGTTCTAAAATAGAAAATTGCTGATTTAATAATACCATATCACATGGAAAGAGAAATTGTCAAACCAAACAGTTCAAGAATTATGGACAATGGTATTTCAGTAAAAACAATTTAATAAACTTTCATTGTGTATCTAGACACAATACATTTCCAACTAATAGTATTTTTCTACTTTACCTTTTCAGTAAGGTATTTTCTCACAAATAAGTAATTCATAAGGTATTTTCTCACAATTTTTTATATTTTTTTAGATCTCCAATTTAGCTCAACACTGCCATCCAAACACTACCATAGTGTGCTATTACACCCCTTTAAGCCAAGTAAAACTAGTTTTTATGGATCTTTTGAAAAAATTTATGGCCCATTTAGTTTAGGATTGCTAGATATATATATATATATATATATATATATATATATNTTTAATGAATCTAATTTTAATTAACATGAATTTTAATAAGTAAAAAAATATAAATTTTAATCACCTCAAATCGAATTTTAATCAGCACTAACAATTCAAGTATAGCTCAAATCGGCTCGAATTTTAAAACATAAAAAAGAAATTTTAATAGGCTCAAATTTTAATATGTAAAACAAATAAAATTTAATCAGCTCAATTAAAATTTTAATTAACTCAAATTTTAATATATAGAAAAATAAATTTTAATCAACTCAAATCGAATTTTAATTGGATCAAATTTTAATATGTACAAAAATAATTTTAATGAACTCAAATTTTAATATGTAAAGAAATGAATTTTAATCAGCTTGAATTTTATATAGAAAGATTTGTTAGGGGTTTTGTAGGGGGCATTTTTGATATTTTAGATGACTTTTTTTTTTTTTCAATGGTTGTTTAATGGCGTGAGTGTTAGTGATGTTTGAATATAAACTAGCAGGGTGTCAATGATGTTTTTGATTATAAAGGGGGGTCCTTGAAGATATAATAAAGTAAAAGGAATGTGACTGAAATTTATAAAGCAAACATGTTGTTGGATTGTATAGATTAAATGTAAAAGAGTTGATGGTACCATATTTTATCACCCTTTTCTATAGGTCTTACAGAAGTACTTATGTGTTATCCAAACACCGAAAATGATAAGATATATCCATTAAATCCTAACTAGTCCAATGATAAGTGAGTTTGAGTTAAATAGGATATCATATTTTTTTGGAGATTGTTGTAGACTGGTACACAATTTAGGACTTCATTGGGTAAAAGTTCTTCGGGTAAAATTGTTTGTGTAGAGGTCCTTTTTATTTGTGAATATCAAGTATACCCACATTAAAAACTAATTGGCTCAAACTAAGAATTTGAAAACCACTGGAAATCAAGCAGCATACCCATGAAAACAGCTGACAATGATATCCAACAAAATAGGTTGCTTGAAATTCAAATAAAAAATACCATAAAATCCATTAACATCTGGAAGCATAACACATCGCTTTTGGGGACTAGGGTTGTTATCATTGGGTTTTTACATGACAGTAATACATTACAGTGTAACAACTTTAATAACCGACAAAAGATATGCAAGTACATTTTCCGATTCATGCAAAAGCTAAACAATATGTTTTACACAATGTAATATCTACAGTTTGACAAATACATATATTATTTTTACGGAATGACAGTGTTACATAACAATGTAACAACACAATAAAACAACTGTAATTGGGTATAAAAAGTTTGACAATTAAGTGTGATATCCATTCACCGCTACCTTAAGAACAATCATAGTGTATTCCAAAAAATTAAATTAAACTAAATTAGACACCGATTATAAATTCATTAACAAGTTGTTGAAGTAGAAAAAAACAA